ATATACATATCTATATATACATACACATACATATATACACACATATACATAATGCATATATACATATACATACATATATGTATATATACATACACACATGTAGTTGCTCATTAATTTATAAACACGGCTGGTGGATGACATGGATAAATATGATCTGGGATTTGGCCTACCTTTGCAAAGAATAAGAAGGGCAGTGTAGCAATCTCCAGCAGCCTAGCTGGAAGGGAGGGGCAGGCAGTATCCAGGACTGCTGAGTATGATCTCTCCTTTTGTCTCCAAGAGTGATAATCGGCCAGAAATTTAACTGTTTGCTACCTCTCCAATGTCTCTAGTCTGAGGGCATGATTCTAAGGGATTCAGAACAAAGCTGCTTCCCTGCTCCCTTTCACGGGAGAGGATATCTCCCCCCTCCCTTTCCTTAGCATACACTTGCCAGCTTACTTAGTCCCTTTCCAGCAAATGCTGGTCACACAAAAGACCATCATGAATAGCTGATGTACGTTTTTATAAAAGAAAGCAGCAAGCAGAAATCAAAGAAGTTATATCTATATTAGAGTATACCAAAATTACACAAGAGTAAATGAGCTCTTTAGTTCAGAGCAAAATAAGATTTAAATTCAAATCAGGAGTAAAAAACGATTTCACTGAAGGGAGACTACTCCCAGTAACCTCTAGGGCTCCAGGCACTGGAAGGTAAGGGATGTGAGAGAGGGCTGGTTTCCCCCATGTTTGTCTCTCTGGAGCTCTAACCCTCTGTTCAAAAATCTGTATCTTGCCTCTTTTTATCTATCTCCCTCACGGTCCTTTCTTGGAGTATGTCTCTGACAAACTGAAGTAAACTTTTTTTCCCCCACTTACTCAGTATCAGGGCTCAGAATTCTCTTAATCAATCAGAATTCATATCCTCTTATACATGCATCACTATATCTTTTTTAAAATTAAAAATGTTTTTATTTTATTTTTCTCAGTTATATGTAAAAACAATTTTTAACATTTTAAAAATGATTTTTGAGTTCCAAATTTCCTCCCCCTCTCCTTTCTTTTCCCCGTTTTTGAGAAGGCAAGCACTTTGGTATAGATTATACATGTGAAGTCATGCGAAACATATTTTCACATTAGCCTTGTTGCAGCATTAAATCTTTAGGGTGCTAATCACTATGTGGGTAAAGGTGTCACATATACGTATCTTGTAAGTGCCTATTTATGTATATATGTATGTGTGTATATATATGTATGTGTATTATATATATATATATATATATATATATATATATATATGTCTCCTACATGAAAATTTAAACACCTTAATTTCAAGGATTGTTTTCATTTTTTTTGAATCCCCAAGGTTTAATATTTAATAAATACTTGTTGATTGATTGACATGACCAAGGTCATAGAGCAGGTTAGTGGCAGAACCAAGGCTAGAGTCAGTTTTATCTGACACCTCCCTCTCCCCCAATCCCAATCTCAGTGCCTATTCTAGAGTAATCCTGGGGCAGCTAGGTGGCGCAGTGAATAGCGCACCAGTCCTGGAAACATAAGGACCTGTGTTCAAATCTGAACTCAGACAACTGACACTAGCTGTGTGACCCTGAGCAAGTCACTTAACCCCAATTGCCTCACAAAGAAAAAGTATTGGTAGAGTTATCCTATTTTTTTTTAACTGTTAAAATTTATTTTCCTCATCTAGTGTTAATATTCACACTAGCTACCTCATAGGACCATTATGAATAAAGCTCTTTGTAATTCTTAAAATGAAGGCATGCATACAAACTGAGAGGGAAGATGGCCTAGCAGTATCTGATCTCAAACTTTTTATATTAATTTTTTTATTGTTTTGAGTTCCAAATTGTCTCTCTTCCTCCAGCTCTATCCAACATGCCCTCCCCCACCCAGCCCATTTAGAAGGCAGGCAATATGATAATGGATAATTTTATGTGAAAAAAGAAATTTCCAGCCTCAGGTACTTACTGTGTCTTTTTTGTGCTTTTTTGTTGTTGTTCATTTGTTTCAGTTGTACCTTTCCTTCTTGACCCCATTTGGGGTTTTCTTGGCAAACATACTGGAGTGGTTTGCCATTTCCTGCTCCAGCTCATTTATAGATGAGGAAACTGAGGCAAACTGGGGTAAGTGACTTGCCCAGGATTACACAACTTTTAATCGCCTGAGGCTGGATTTGAATTCAGATCCTCCCAGTATGAGGTCCAACACTCTATCTCTTTTACTGCCTGGCTGCTTCCAAAAGAAGTTGGTGGTTATGATCCTGATCATAAGTGCATCCTCAAATATTTATTAAGAATTACTCTTAATGGATGCTGGCTTTGGAGTCATTGAATCCAAATTTATATTCAGGCTCTATCATTACCTATGTGGCCTTGGACCAACAAATAATGTCTCTGGGACTCAGTTTCCCCATGTGTTAAATGAGGGTTTTGACTAGATGGCCTCTAAACTCCTTTCCAAGTAACAATAATTTATTAATCACTTACAGGCATTGTGCCAACTGCTGGGGATACAAAGAAAGGCATAAATAGCCCCTGACCTCAGGAAACTCACATTCTACTGAGGAGACTGCATGGAAACAGCTGTGTACTTCCCTAAATTTAGGGTCCTAGGGCCTAGACAAGGATCTGCAATAGCCATCAAAAGGAGTCAGTTTTCAGAAGATTCTCAAGGGCAAGGACTTAATCATTACCTTATCCCCTTGAGTACTGAACATTGTATTTTGAAGCAGGGAGGAGAACTTAATAAATGTTGAACTGAATTCCTGTTCACTAGGGGTTAACAGTCTAAGACAGACATCTCTGATATATGTAACCAGTTCAGGGATTTTTTATGCCCTTGAATAAGAAACATTGAAAGAAACATAAATAAAGAAGAACAAACAGTCACATTCTTTCATAATCCAGGGTGAGTGTTGCATGGAGTTTGAGGAAATTCACTCCAAAATTCATGTTTAGATTGAGACTGGACTAGCAGTTTCATTGACATCTCATGATGATCTGAGCTTTCGGATATACTGCCTCTAATATCACTTACTGTGTGCCAGGCAGCTAGATGGCATAGTGGGTAGAGTGCTGGGCCTAGAGTCAGGAACTCATTTTCCTGAGTTCAAATCCAGCCTTAGATGCTTAGAGCTTGTGTGACCCTTGGCAAGTTACTTAACTCTGTTTGCCTCAGTTTCCTCATCTGTAAAATGATCTGAAGAAGGAAATGACAAACCACTCCAGGATCTTTGTGAAGAAAACCCCGAATGGGGTCACAAAGTGTTGGACACCGGGATAAAAAGGACTAAACAACAACACAACAATAACATTTGCCAGGCACTGCACTGAGCACTGGGGATACAAAGAAAGGCAAAACCGGGCACCTGCCCTGAAGGAGTGCATATTTAGAGGGAGAAACTGCCAGAATAACTAGATACAAAGATAGTAGTGAGGGCAATCTGAAAGGGGAAGGCATTAGCAGCTGGGGGTGGGGCAGAGAGGGAGATTGTGATTGTCACATTAACCCTTGAGATAGATGACCACTGGTATTATTTTGCTTATATTACAGATGAAGAAATTAGGGGTGGTGGATTCCGTTTCACCTGAGATTTTCAAGTAGAGACTGGATTATCACTTTTCAGGTATGGTATAGTGGGACCCTGGCATCCCTTCAGTTTTTAAATTCTGAGGCAGCTAGGTGTATGGAATGCTAGACTAGGAAGTCTTGAGTTCAAATTTGACTTTGGGACACTTACTAGCTACGTAACCCAGGCCAAATCATTTAAACCCCTGTTTGTCTCAGTTTCCTCCCAAAGGTGATTGGGAGATCAAATGAGGTAATGTTTGCAAACCATTTTGCAAACCTTAAAGTGCTAGCTATAATTATTTTTCTGTGACTTTGCCAGTGGTCACATAGTAAATTTCAGAGATGGACTTTGAAGCCAGATCTCTCATCTCTCCACAATTCTTCCCATTAGACCATGCGATTAATTTGTGAGATTCATTTCTTCTATGACAAAAGAAACCTAGATAGCATATGAGTGGACAAGGAGGGGATGCTAAAAAGGCATGGCCACAGAGTTTTCAGAGAAGGCAAACTACAGATTTCGCAGTGTTGCCTAGGGCCACCATTTGTAGGGGTATGGGTGAAGGTGAGTTTTGATGGCACCTAGGTTTAGTAACTTTACAATTATGTCTCTTCCTGGGAGAGATGCAGTAGGATGGGGTAAGACCTAGAGTGAACAGCTCAAGACTCTTCAGATGCTGGAGTTGGAAAAGGTCTTAGGGATCTTAGTCTCACCCCCTTGTTTTAGAGTTGAGGAAACTGAGGCCCAGAGAGTTCCAATGACTTAGTAATTAACGTTGAAGCCAGTTTTAGATTCTAGTTTTCTAAATTCACAGCCTAGTACTCTTTCTGTCAATACTGAAGTGTAGGTGAGTATGTTGTCTGGGAGGAAGACAATGGCCAAACCTGGCCTAAGCAGGCTACAGGTGTATCTATATAAGAGATGTGGAATGGGTTCAGTGAGAGCCAGAACAGAGCCCTTGGGTCTATGCTGTCCCTGACCATCAGTCCCTCTCAGTGTCTAGGGAAATGGCTTCAGCAGGATTCTTTGGTTAAGAGGCAGAGAAAAAGGGGATAATTGGATGCGACATTTTCTGGGTGGGTGGGTGGTATCGAAATGGCTGAGAGGAAAAGGGGGGACATAGAAAGGGGGGCTGGCCCTGGTGAATGACAGGCCCGAGACTTTTGGGGCGAATATTTTTTGGGGGGTGATTGGGGTACGTCGCAGGTAACCTGCAGCCAGAAGGGGAGGGGCGGGGCGGGGGTGGGGGCCGTGGGCGGGGAGGGAGCGAGAGAGGGGGCCTCCCATTGCGGACAGTCTGCTGGAGCCCGCCCTGCTGTCCGCCGTACAACCTCTGCGGCTGTAGGGAGGAGGGGCTGGGAGCCGGCTGCAGTGCAGAGACCCGGAGCTCGGGAGCTGCCTCCGCTACCGTCGCTGCTGCCGCTGCCGCTGCCGCCGTCGCTGCTGCCGCCGTTGCTGCTGCTGCTCCGTGTGCTGCCGCCGCTGAGCTCGTCCTCTCGCTGCACCGCATCCAGGTATTATTCCTGCGGCTGCTCTCCTTGCCCCTCTGACAGCCCCTTAACCCGGCTTTCTGCCCCTCCGCCCCGCGGCTGCCCATCAAAGCTGGGGAATCTGATCCCCCCAACCCCCCACTCCCATCTCCTGTGCTTGCCTTCCCACCACCGCCCACTGCACCCCCCTCCCCGCCCCCATCCCAGCCTCACCACTGCGGATGGGACGTAGGATTCGGACAGAAACCGCAGTCTTTGCCCGGCAGCTGTCCATTCCTCCCCCCCGCCCCCCCGCCCCCCCCAGCCTGGGGAGCTGCTGCCCCAGGCGCCTCTCCAGACTGGACAGAGCCTCCTGCCTCCCTCTCCGCGCCACTTCCAGTTTGAGGGATGCCTTAGGGGGTGGGGAATTCAGTTTGCGCCAGGCCACGAAGAGGGTCTTTCTTCCTACCCCACCCCCCATATAGGAGATTTTTAAAAAAGCTGGAGATCTGTGGTTGACATCTGAAAACATACCTTCCACCCCACCCCACCCCACACAGTCAGGGGATGAGACATTGAAAAGAATAATTCAATCCTTATGGGACCTAAAGGCCACAGAGGGCTTTCCCCATTTTGTCCCTCGGGGAGGAGGTGAGCTACTATACAGTTCTTAATAAGTGTCTTTTGCTCTCTCCCATTCCCTTCCCCTGCGGATAATATAAGGAATGTAGGGGACTGGTCTTGGTGTTGAAAAGGATGGAAATGGAAATGATTTTTCCTTGGGAATTCTTGCGGCGTTAAGATTTAATCCTCGTGTATTACCCGCAGGGAGCCAAATTTCTCTTAGCCTTCGTAAACCAGAAGCTATGTTGGTGGGAGACTGGAGTTTTCTGAAACCTCATGCAGAGTTGTTAAACATTGGAATGGAAGCTTGTTAAACCGAATTCTGGAACCTTAGAAAAAAAAAGTCTTATCTATTATAATTTAAATTTCTTTCTGTCTTTAGGCAGGAGCATGAATAAAATGACCTCTCCCAGAACCCTTCTTTGTCTTCATTGTTCATGATGTACAATGTGGATTATTACACAAAGAAAATGCTTCTGTTTATTCCATAGGTTACTATTAAACATTAAAAAATTTAATTTCCCAGACCTTCCTTCTCTCTCTTTTCTCCTCCTCAGATTTGTCACAGCTTGATACAATAAGCTGTGGGTTGTGATTATATTTAATCATCTCACACAACAGTCTTTTTGAAAACTGAGTGTTGCATATGTGCAGAGCAAGTATTTGTGTGATCTTAGCTGCATCTGCCGTAGTCCCGTGGAAGCATCACTGCTTCCTTTTATCTCAACCTCAGCATTTTCTTTTTGGTTCTATTTATTTGATTTAGGAACTAATGAAAATATAAGAATCTCTTGTTTTTCCATAGGTATCTGATTAGAGAGGTAAGAAAAAACAAGTTATTTTTTAGCTCACAGAAATCATCCACATTAACCTCCTGGGAATTACTAAATGCTAAATTATTTGGAAGAAAATGCTGTTTGATTTTGATGATATCCATTTTAAATGGCCACAACTGTTAAAAAAAGTTGTTTAAAATATTTTAAATGTAGTGTCAAATCCCCAAGAAGAAAATTCAAAAGCATATCTTGTACCATTTCTTCTTCCCCTTTTCCTTTCCTTCCTTCTCTCTCTTCCTTTCCCCCTCTTCATATCCTGTCTTCCTTCTTTTTTTGTTTCCTCCTTTTCCCTTCCTCTTCTCTCTCTCTCCCTCCCTTTCTTCCTTCCTACTTCTCTCCTTTCCTTTTGTTTTCTTTCTTTCTTCAAGGTTTGAAGATGGCTTCTTCTTCCTCCTACAACCTAGAAGAAGATGAGAGCCTGAAAGGATGTGAACTCTATGTCCAGAAGCATAATATTCAACAGCTTTTGAAAGAGTGCATTGTAAACCTTTGCATCTCCAAACCTGACCGTCCCATGAAATTTCTTCGGGAGCATTTTGAAAAATTAGAAAAGGTCAGTAGCCTGAACTGACTGTTATTTTCCATTTACAAATGTACTCATATAAAATACTGAGTTAACCTTTCTTTCCATTCTGCAATTCCCTTTGGCATTTAGCTTAAAATGCCCAAAGATTTTTTTTTTGCTTGTGAATTTTCAATGGCTCTTTGAGGAAGCTGTACAATTAAGTGCAGAACTTTGACAACCCATCATGTATTTTGAAGCAAATAGCCACAATGGCTGTCGAATTGACCATTATTTGGTTGATTACCTTTGGATTTTTTTCCCTTCTGCCATTTTCAGAAATCACTGGTGTTTCGTATGAATGTGTTGTTAAAATGTCCAAGATGACCAGATTTCAATCCTTTAGAAATGTCTGACCATTGATATTGCAAAGAATATTTTTGTTCAAAAAAAATTGATTTGAATACCCCTCTTCCTCTTCCCCAGTCCCAAGTACTATTTTAGGTATATGGTACCTGCGTCTTCATTAACCCAAAGGCTTGCATAAACACAGAGAAGAAAGAAATTCATAATTAAACACTTAAATTGAAATTTCAGAACACATCTTATAAGCTTATGATTATATTTATCCCCTATCCTATTATCTATTGTTTGCACACAGCAATTGGCTAATAGATGCATAATGAATTGAATCTCCTGCATATGTATGCAGTGGAAGTTAAGAGTGTATATGAATTTCTCAAGGTTCATACTCTACTTGAAGAACCCCACCACCATTTCTCTCTTTCTCAAGGAGAATGAGGATCCTGCTCCCTCAATTCATAGGGGGTGAAAAGTGATGAAGGAACTACATATCCCTAGATATTCTTTCTGAGAACGAAGAATGTGCCCTCAACTTCTCTATTCAATCACTTGTATACTCTTCACTTGAAGTATGAAGATAGGTAGCAAGGCCTCATCACTGCCTTTTGTGTTCTTTCTAACTTTTGATACCTTCCCTCATATCTCTGTGTTTTCATGCAGTCACATAGTTGTCCAGGTTTCCTACTGCAGTCCCAAATCTTTCCCCACGTAGTGCCCATGTTCTAAATTCCTCCTTTCCTTTACATCCCACCATTAAAATTTGTCCTAGGTCCCATGCCCTCAGAGCCTCAGATGCTTTTCTTGTTTATCTGATAAATAAATCCAGGCATACCTGTTACTAGAGGTTATTTACCCTTTTGGTAGCATTTGCATTTTTTTGTTTCTAGATTTAAACAGTTCTTTTCACCAAATGAAAGAATGAAAGAATTTTGGCCTTTTTGGCAAGCCATTGGGGAAGATTTTTGAATGGGGGTGGGAGGGCTTTCCAATGACCCTGTAAATCACACCAGGTAGGTGACTGCTTATATTGAAAGCCAAAGCTGTGGCTCAAAGATTCTCTCCTGAAATCCCTTCAAGAAGGGGGATTGAAGATGTTTTCCACTCTAGGTTTTTGTAGGGTATATTCTCATGCCCTTCAGAACCAGAAAGGAAGAGACAGGTAGGTAATGTTATAGGGCTATCACCATTAACCATTTCCCACTTCAAATCTCAATACCACAGAGACTGAAGTTAATTGAACTGATTTATGCATAAACCCCAACACTCATTAATTAGCTTTTCATAATGTTCTATTATATATTCACTGCCTGGCGTCAACTAGGAGACCATTAGGGTCCTTGCAGAATTCCGTTATTTACATATTGAAATCTCTGCACTATAGTCTAAAGTGTGTATATGAAACATTTGCTGTATTAGAATCAGGAAAAGGTTACCTACTTTGAAGTCCATTTTAGAGAAGGTGTCAGGTTTCATGGGTAAGGCATGTAACCAAAGCGGAGTAGTCTTATCAGTAATATACTGGCTGCAGTGAAGAAGACTTCTTAAGAAGGACCCTGATGGTAAGAGTTAAGGTTTATGAAAACGATTTAGCTTTGTTCAGAGGCAGATATATCATGATGGGGCAGTGGCAGGCAACTGGGTGAGCTAGTTTTTTTCTTTCTGTAGAGACTAGGATAACTGCTTGTGAAAATGAGGTAGGTATAATAGGGTATAACCTTCGGGAGACAGTTGGAGTACTTCAATTCTGTCAAATCTGTATGATCTGAAGCTAGATCAAGATAAATAACTATTGTCTAGTCTTCTTATTAAGAAATGTTTAAAATTAAAATATTACTCATTTTTTGGGACCTAATACCATCACTGGGGACAAAGGCAATTTTTCCTGTTGAGATTTGTCTTTCAGAAGATTGTAGATATCTTTTTATCAGTTCTTTGTTTAAATGTGATTTTCCAACCTGATCAGTTGCATGACTATTTGCCTGACTTGGTGGCGTGAATATACTTGCTTGTATCTATACCAATGAGGTGTAACTCTACATTTCATACAGAGATTTTTTATGAAAATACTATACCATTCAGAGAACCAAGGGCATTTCTGAAAGGTAATGGTTAAACATGGAGCACTATACTATGTTGATGGCCAGTGTTGAATGTGTGGATATTCTAATGATTATTAGTGTTGAACAAACCTTTGCAAGGCATAGAAAATGAGAAATTATGTTAGATAGTTTACTGTACCCTAACTAATGCATGATGAAAGGATTTTGCTTTTTTTTTCCTTTAAAAGAAGATTATTTGGTTGTCTGTTCTTCACTCAGGTAAGCATGTTCTCAGGGAAACTCACCAATGATGGCAACCAATTTCTAATTAGAACCACTTCATTAACTAAAGTGAAAGTGACTCTTGTAGTTGTATATGAATTGGTTAATGAATTGATGTAATTTTTCTTCATTACTATGGGTCTCTGATCACATTGATTTGCATATTCTCTCCATTTGGGTAAAGGAAAATCCATCCAAGCCTTCTCAATCTGTGGATTTGATACTGGTCCATATTTTCCCACAGATTTAAAAAATGTTTTTTTTTCCCCCATTAACAAGCATTTAGCAAGTATTTATTTTCTTCATCTCCTACTCCCCTCCCATTGAGGAAAAATAAAATCCTTCTAACATATATGCATAGTTAAGTAAAACAACTTCTCTCATTAATCATGCTTTGTTTTGCCTCTTGAAACATCACTGTTCTGCTAGACAGTGGTAGCTAGCATGCTTCCTCATTGGTCCTTTAGAAATATGATAGGTTATTATATTGATCAGAGTTCTTAGGCCTTTCAAAATTGATTGTGTCCCATAGCTTTTTCGTAGATCTGTCCAGTGTTCTTAAAGCTTTCCACTAAGTCTTTTTCCTAAAAATATAGGTGCCAGTGTAGCCCTCTTGACTGTCTGTTGTCCCTTGTACTCACATCTTTATTTACCCACCTCGGTTTTAGTTATATCTATTTCTATTATCTGGAGCTATATCTCCATAATTGCTCATTTCCCTGATGATAATCTCTTAATGCCCACCGTATCAGTTTTCCAAAAAGACGAAATTCTAGGAGTGGTTTTATGGAAATTTTGAGCAACTGTTCAGCTATGTGGCTCAGTAGGTAAGAATACTGGCCTTGGAGTCAGGAAGACTCCTATGGGAGAATTTGAAAAAATTTATGGGAGACAAATCAACTTTAAAAGGCTTAAGAACTCTGTTCAATGCAATAACCAATTATGATTACAAAGGACCAATAATGAAGCATACTACCTGCCTGCATTCTGAGAGTGTGGTGATGGATGCAAGATCTGTGTAACCTTGTGCAAATTATTTGACTTCTCTCAGCCTCAGCTTCCTCATCTGCACAATAGGGGTAATAATAGTACCTAATAATACTTCACAGGATTATTGTGGGGATCAAATGAGGTAACATATATACAGTGCTTTGCAAACCTTAAAGTGCTATATAAATACTTGTTGTCATTATTATTACGTGAAACATTGGAGATATTAGATTAAGTTGAATGAAAAACTTCCTTTGGGATCTTTACATTCTTTTTTTATGGCATACATTGAACAGTTGGTCAACATTTTACATGTAGTAGAGAAATGATCTTTCCAAAGGAATGAATTTTTAGGAAAATTTTCATGAGGATTTATTCAACTTGGAGAGCTGGTCTCTCTTATTCAGTTGACTGGGTTGCCCATTATCCTTTTTTCCCCCTTTCTCAACTTGCTTCTACATAACTTAATGATGAAAGGATTTTTGAAAATGACTTTGTTTATGGTGCCATTCAGGAGCTATTTAGTGTTAGTTAAGTCTTGGGCCATATGCTATATTTATAATTCTTTCTTCTTTGGTGACTTAAATTGAGTTCTATATTAAGATTTGTTTTAATAGATACATGGTCAGCAAAAGGAATTTTTGGATGAAAAATTGACAAAGGTTGAGATTCCTGAAAAACTAAAAGAGAACATTTGTACTTTAATTCTTCTTAATGAAAATTGATATGGAACCAGAAAAGGAAAGAGGATTGGTAAGCTTCCAAAAAAGTCCTGATTAGTTGAAGGTTTATTGCCATTGAATGGAGGAAGATATGTATTTTAAACCTCTCACATTATCATGGCTTCTTGAAGTAGATGCCAAGTGGAGTTTGAGGCCTTTGTGGTGTAGGTGGATAGAACTGGCCTTATAACCAGGAAAACCTTGAAGACTGGCTCTGTGACCCTAGGCAAGTCACTTAAACTTTCAGTGTTCAAGGCAACCCTCTAAAACTATGAATTGTGAAGAAGGTACTGACCTGTGTTTGTAGAGGGAGTGTCTTCATTCAGGAATTCCTTTTATTGCTAAAATTACAGGTCTGGACCCTATCCTGACCCTAAAGAATACTCCTTCTCCCACAAATGGTAAAACTGGATTCAAAGCATGTGGAGAAAATGGTAAAGAGAAGAGGTAATCTCTTCCATCAAGAAGTCACAGCCCCTTCCAACCATTTTGAGACTGAAGGGAAGTTTGCAAAAGAATCAGTTAGGCCTTTACATGATTAAAGCAATAGGCTTTTATATGATTAAAGCAATAGGCTTTTATTATGGGTCTGTCATAATTTTCATAAGGGAAAGCTTAAAGGTTGAAGATTGAAATGCACATTCAGGAGTGGAAA